ATGTAGATGAACTTATGAAACACTGGAAAACTGTTTTGGAATCTACACCCAGAATGTAGGCAGTTGACAAGCTGTCATATATGAAGTCACACTACTTATTAGACGATATTTAGATGTAAACTTCACTAAAACATTGTTTTTATACGTTATTTTGTCTACTTTCATATTTACTACGTGTTTGGTATGAGAATACATTCTACACATATAAAAACGAACTTTACTTAATTAGAACCATTTCTGAATTTTTCGTGATATTGCGCTTTTCAAAATAAATCGACAGTTCTAAACAACGCAACACTGCCTATAATAATTTTTTATGTTTTTAATTCTTTTAAACTTGTAGTTAATTAGCACAGAAATTGGACACATGAAATGGTCTCGGTTTTCGAGGGACTGGCAATCATTCGTAAATTTCGACACATTTCATCAGTCAGGTCACGCACTGCACATATATTGCTATTATCATACTTTGGACTACTTAAATGGCATGCAATTTTTCTGTTTAAATTATAAAGAAAATACCTTCTTCGTATCGTTAAAAGCTGCCATGCAAGCTACCTAACATACGAGTTTGGTATTATAATTTATTGCTGCTAAAGCAGTATGACAATTTCCCGTTTAACTTCTTAACCAGGTTTCTCGTTTGCTTACAGGAATCTGCCATGACAACCGAAAGGGGATGATAACTCAGGACTGACGATCTGTATCTTGTACAAAATTCTTTTATGCCTTTCGTGTTATTCAGTTCACAAACTGACACCTTCCACAGCTAATTTCAATCAACCGACTTACGTTATGATACTGGTCGCTGCATTTGCTTGTGTAACTAATCGGGTGGATTGGAAAAACCCATGTTGGCCGTAATTGGGGTCTATTTGCCGGAACCAGTAGTGGCACAGCACGCCTCGTTTGTTCGCCGATGGATTCGATATCGAAAAAAGGAACCAGAAATGAGTGAAAACGCGAACCCCTTGCTCAGTTTCTTTCGGTGGTTGAACCAACTGGGCCACATCCTCCAATGTCACGCCGTAGCCCAGCCTTGTGGCCTATTCCAGCCCAACAGTAGCCACATCCAGCCCAGTCAAGCCAGTGCGGACCAGGTTGGGCTGATTCTGGGAGGGGGGAAACTGGAAAGGCCATTTATGGCTTATTGACCGTCGTCAGCCATTCATACCCAACCCCGAGTTGTGGACCACATGGGGCTCGATCCCCGACCGAGAAATGACGCGACGCATGGTGCACATCGATGCTCTCAGAGAGACCCAATTCTCCGAATAGGGTCAACCTGAAGATATGGATGCAGACTACGTCTTCTTTTTTTGTTCCGTCCCAAGGCAGAACGGCGCGGCGTTAATTCTGCCTCCTTGTCTTCTTTATGATGGGGTTACGAACCCAACTCCGCAGGAGACAGCAGGGTAAGTGAACGCCATGTAAATAAAATAATGTCATGTTTAATGTGTTTGTTCACCGCACCGAGGTCAGCAATCGACTGATAAACATTCCGAGTACATTATCATCGCCTAAGAAGTGAGGCCTCAGGACACTTTCTGATAGAATTGAAGTATATTTAGTTAAAATTAGCATATCGAAACTCAAAAGATTTCATTCAAACGACTGAAATGCCCCTTAAATTTTCTCCAGAATTTGCGTGCCCACGGCCGCGTCTATCTGCACTTGGCTACAACCACAAGGCGGGGCCATGTGTTGGCAGGGAATGGAGGCTCCGGAAGTGAACGCTATAATGGAGACATAATGGTTCAACTGGTAAGGCGACAATGACGAAGACATCTGCAAACTTTTCTCAGGGGAGAAAAAAAGCTATGAAAAGCGCGGAGCTGGTGCAAACAAAGCTGACGCTTGGTACAACTGCGGGAGATGCATAACGCCTGGATGGATCGTTAGCTCAGGAAAACGCAAGGCCACCCCAACGGCAACAATAAGGGAAGATTCTTCGCCTGTAAATAACTAAATAAATCATTGTACTGAATGCCCTTGGGGGTAATTCATGGCAAGTAAATTTTAGAACAAGTAGACAGGTTCTATACGTTATTCAGTTCACGGTTATAGAACAGACAGTCACATATTAAAAACGGTCAGCGAGGAGTAAAAAAACTCTAAATGAAAAATACAAAATCAATATGAATTGGTTTACTTTTTAGAAAAAAAAAATTCCGCCCTTGAAAGGATAAATATTTGGGTGGAGCAGGACTGACCCACATATGGTATTGTATAAGTGATTCAGAACGGAAATAGTAAAGACAGAATTACTGAACCGGATAGGGCCATTCGCCTCGAGGTGGCGAGACAGAGGAACCTAGACGCGTCGGTCACAGTCCGCTTAGATTCTAGCCAAGGAGGGGGCATTAAAGGCTGAGGCGGTCATCAAAGTGTAGAGGGGAGAATACGACCCTGAGACCTCTTCGCTGACCGATCGAACTACTAGCTGATGGCGAAAACAGAGGATGCCGCCGTGATCGTCAACAGACCACTTTGGTTCGAAGTGAGTTGGCATCAAGAGCCAAGGCTGTCTACCACCTCGCCCCACCCACCCATTAAAGAAACCCCGCCGCCGCTCAGCTCCGACGGATCGACATTTCTCACGAAGAATATCCAAATTCTGGAGCACTGGACCGAGCACTTCAGAAGCGTCCGCAGTTGACGGTTCACAATCTTCAAGGCCAAACAGTGTTTTGCCCTCCCTCCTCCTTCCCTCCTAGAAACAACTAAAACCATGTAACGGCTCTCTAGTGGTAAAGCACTGGGACCTGACGCAATTCTGACCGAAAACACGGGCATAGCCGCCCTCGGCTGATGGACAGGATACGTGAGATACATCATTGTCGTGAGTGCATTTCAACACATTTTACGTCACGCTCGTCCTTTTATGTATCCTGCTCACTTGCAACACCTATGAAATTGTGTAACAAGACAAGTTATCCCAAGACATCCAAGTGATCTTGGTAACTTACGATTCCGGCATTTTATTCTTCGGACCTTATCTGCCTATGATGTTCCGGACTGGTATCTGGGCGTCATAAAGTCCCACAAGGGACTTGCCATGACTGTTCCGCCTGTAGGATTTGTAATTAAATTACAAAGTCAACTTCACAGCGAAGCCGATATATATACACACATATATATGGTAGTGTCAAACTCCATGACCAAAGATCCCGGGTCCGAATCTCAAGTGGTCCACACTTGGGGTTGGGTATGACTGGCTGATGACGGCTAATAAGCCAGAAATGGTCATTCCGGTCTCCCTTGTCTTTGTCGGCTCCATCATATATATATATATATATATATATGGCCTAACCTTTCGCCATTCTCGGTGGTAAGTTATGATCAAGGTTTTAAACCTGCCAAGGAATCCAGAGACGGGAGTATTCCTACCAATGACACAATGGGAATCTGTGATCTACAGCCGGCTGTATTGTAACGTCTCACAAAGAATGTCAGGACATGTGGAAAATTTTCTTATTTTGGCTTGCAACTCGGCCAACCGAGGTTGTTCTTGAGGACGGACCGGTACCAGAGCTCGAGAAACTTTGACTGAAATTTTGCTCAGTATTGGAGCATAAACTGTCATCGCCGATCGCCGGATTTAAAATGGCAATTTTACCCCAAGGTCCGGCGTAAACAACCGTTATTAGAGCACTGTGCACCTTTCCTACTGATTTACGGTGCTTCGTTGATGACAGTCATCGTTTTTTGATCGATGTCACTACCCTTTAGTACAAACAATACCCGTGGATTCTAACGACTGAAAGGTTAGAATACCACTGAGATGGGCAAGGTCAGTTCCTTGTATTGTTAGTACACCTCACATGGGCACCTAAAGTCAGGTAATGTGGTTAGTATCACTTAAGTATTCTTCCCTTAACGAGACTCTTGAGTGGGACTCAATCAGAAGGCGGGCTACTGGAATTGGCGGGATCCTGTACTTTGTCGGGATCGCAGCAGAGGTGAAAAGCAATCGTCTGAGGGAGGGTGCTTCGCACACGCATCCGTCTTTCCCAAACCGACTTGGACTCCGTGGAACGAGGGAAGCACGAGCACGTCTGCAGACTGAAAAATAAGCTAGTAGCAGGGCCCGAACGCCTCCAAATCGCACTTGCCGTTCACTTTAGCTAACACCTGTTACCAGTCGTTTGCGCGCACGGTGACAACAAAGGCCAACGTCTAGTCAACTATATCCTCGGCTTCCAATTTTGGAAGCCTGCGACTCCAGACAGGCGCACTCCACAGGTGCGCCAATTCAAAACATCCAGGCTCGCAAACTCATCCCGTAGGAAACAATGATTTCGGTCACATTGACCCCAATGAGGTGAATCAGAGCGCGGGCATGACGGCGGACAAAACCGCACCGAGTACTGTACCCCCTTCATCATACCTCGTGGCCTTTCTACAGGTCATCGATCTACCAAATCAAAGCTGCGCCACGCTCGAGGGTATTACTATCGCACCGTTCCTGACTTCTTATTCGTCCGATAACCTACCTTGCAGCTCGTCTTCGATGAAGGTCCTCCAACTACTTGCCATTTAGGGACGCTCCGTCCTTACTAGGCTGGCAGACATACCGTGCCGTAACTCGCCATATAGGTGTACTTGAGTATCAAAAGTGACGGCGAGTCAGGCAGCCACCATAGTTTCTGGCAGTTCGTCACCAGAGTCCCTAACTCTTCCGTATCTCTAGCAGTCTGCCCAGTCCACACGCCGACCTTACCAGACCACAATGTGGGACACAGCGAGAGAAGAGAGACAACTTCTTGCGTTTTCGTGTGAAGGGCTGGTAGCAAAAAGGTTCAAGGACGACAATCAATCAGGAGGAAGAAAAAAACTGGTAATGGGGAGGGGAGGGGAGGTGTGAAGGAATGGAAAGGGGATTGGTTAGGACAAAAGCTAAGTTGAAAGATACCAAGATGATGGAGGGGGGGGGGAGGAGGTTGCGGATTTGACAAATTAGAGAGTACACGAGGAGAGGTATAACAACTATCACCACATTATCGCTTCTTTTTGTGCCCTCGCTTTTGGTTAGATTTGGCAGATGGCTGTGGACGTCGGCTGGCAGTCTGCCCACCACTGTTCGTCGTCTCTGTGCGTGGCGAGGTGGAAATTGGAGCTTCTCGAGGACTCGGGTTGCCCATGTCGCTAAAAGAGCGGAAAAACGGGTTACAGAAAAAGAAACAACGATTGCCTGATAAGATGCGTCGTGTGTGTGACAAAGTTAGGGCGAAAAATGACAGTTCCACTCCCCCCCGCGAGCAACGGCCTACACAGCTGCCTCACGAGGCGGATCTAGCAAGGGTGTTGCGGGCTTGCAGAGCGTCTACTGCAGTCTTTCCCCTACCCACCTTGCTCCCGTGGCGAGACAGGGTCAAGATGACCGGGGATAGACACAGACGCAGTGGCTGACAAGGCTAGACCGCCTGTCTACGCGTGCCGCGCACGACCTGGCTCCAGGTGCGATACAAGAAAGTACAAACTATAATTCCTTCGGACTAACAGAAAACGCTCATGTCAGCTCCGGGGCACAGGCAATGTGACGAGCAATTAAGTGGTAAACGCGCAGTGCCCCCAACACGGGCCACGCTGTAGATGCGCTGGACCAACACAGGAACTAGATCAAGGTATGGCAGGCGTGAGTAAGGATGCGCACCCATGACAAATGTCACGTATGAGGTGGGCTGGCACACCTACAGTGCGTGACCGATCTCATGACATGTTGGCCGAAATTCTGAAATGTGTTTTCGATTAGGAAGGATTACTTAGGTGGCGTTGTAATATTGATTAGCATGTAGCACAATCCTATTGCATTTCGGACTCATCAGGGCGTCGGCTTTTGGATGCGCGCCTTTTAGACCTCCTGCAGAAACCGCGCTCTCCAAAAAATGACTACTTAAGTAGCATGGGTTTTTCGTATTGATTTTCGATGGTCTTATAAATTCAAATATATTTTATAGAAAACGTACACAAGGATATGCCTTCTTCTACTTGTTCGGTGGAACACCACACTGTCTTTGTATTTTATACCCGAAGAAAGTGTATACTTAGGTTTTAAAAAAGTTTCTAATTATGAGATTTTTAAGACCGTGCGATGTCCGTATATACAACATTACACACATCCGTTTACCAAGGCTTCTCATGAAATGTGCAACACAGTCCGAATCCATTGCAAGATTTTATGAACTCTACATGGTATCTTCTTAAAGGCATAGAGGAATATATGGTTTTCCTTACGCGGAAAGCATGCACCGTGTAGACTCAAATTGCTAAACGCTGATGCAATGGCAGATCAGACTGAAAATTATTCGGGAATTGGGGAGCTTTTTTAAAACCTAAATACACACTTTCTTCGGGTATAAAATATGAAGACAGTGTGGTGTTCCACCGAACAAGTAGAAGAAGGCATATCCTTGTGTACGTTTTCTATAAAATATATTTGAATTTATAAGACCATCGAAAATCAATACGAAAAACCCATGCTACTTAAGTAGTCATTTTTTGGAGAGCGCGGTTTCTGCAGGAGGTCTAATAGGCTGGGACCCCTAAGTGCAGGCTCATGCATCGACAGTCACCTGCCACCGATTCCGCCGCCCTCCCCCCGGTCTCCGTAACTCTGTCTCGACACCGCGCCCGGTCTTCATGAGGGAAGAGAGAGTGCAGTGGCGATACAATGGCTCCTTCATAATGTGGCCTTTATGGCACTGCCACTCCGTGGGATCCGGGCTGGCTGTGGCGGCACGCCTGGGGCGGCTTCGGCCGCGCCAGCCACCTACACCCTCTCTCACCTCCGGTCTTCTTGACCCTGTCATGACACGGGGCTCAGGTGGATGAGCAGGATGGCTTGGTAAATTAATCGCAAGTCTACTGTCATTATAGACTAATTCGCGTGCAAGTCACTGTTCCTGCATCCACCCCGCTGTGGGGCACACGGTGGACAATATCGGAATCAACGGTCAAACTGCCTGTAGACACGCAGGGATGAATTGGGGAGTCGGAGAGGAGTGGGTTATGTATCTGTAAGTCATAAACCAGAAAACTAGCGTAAACGCTACTTAGGTTCCCCTTCTTATAACCCAACTCCAGCGCAAATGCTCACTGCAGCCCCGAGCAGTGGTGGCATTCGTCCTTCACAACGAACTGTCGTCTTAAAGCGGCATATTTTCATAATCTTTGTTCGTAGGAATGATTGGCAGACTCTAGCATTGCATGCTCTGCGTAGCTTCTACTTTCTTGTCCGAAATACGTGGTGGGACGGACGGCCGATCATGAACTCGGATTTCATCAAACTCACGAGGCAATACCCGCAGGCTTTTCTAAACATCTCGTGAAGGGCGGAAAAGAGAAAACCAACCAACTCAGGCCATAGTAGGGACTTCCAAAGATAAAAGATATCTCGAAGATTTTAGCAACATCTTCTGAAACTCGGAGTAGGGGGTCGGTCATCGGCCTGACTTGGGGTGGCGTCGAGAGGTGACAAGTCGAAGAAGCTCCGGCTCGAACTGGGAAGAGGTGGTCATAATCCAGAAACTTCAGCGGAAGAACCGGTCGACAGCTGCAGATGTGGATGCACCAATAACAACTGGCGGTGCGGGAGTTAGAGCCAGTTACAGATGGAAACCTAGCCGAACTCAGAACTCCTGTGTCTTGCACTCCCGGTGGCGGGTCGGGACAACGACCCAACGATAGGACGGTCGCAAGATCTGCTGCTATCAAACAACCGTAGCATCGATTTAACCCCGGTCTACGCGGCTCTGCGTCACTAAGTGACGGAGAGCGGAGTCACGAGGAAGCTGGACAAGCTGTGCGGCACTCTGACCCATCAGCCATCTCCACAGGTGATCAGAATGATGGCAACTGTGATTACGATTGAACAATGGCAAATGACTCAAAGTCGTCACGGAGGAGCACAGTAAATGAAACAAAAGACTGTTAACGGCAATCTTCGGTCTCTGAAGACCGGAGGCCGGACCCACCACTTCAAAAGTTCTCCAGGTGACCTCTAGTTTTAGTAGAATATTTGAGAGTATTATCTTCATTCAGAAGACGAAGATGCGATCAGTGGAACACGAAATTTATTGGCCTGACGTTTCGGATTTTCACTCGAATCCATCATCAGACAGTCGCAGATACCAGCAAAAACGGGGATGCACGCCCATAACGTTTGGGGTGCGGTAGCAGGCCCAGTTGTCGGCTCACGCCGCGGACACTGGGACACACCTGCCGCACCCCCCCCCCACCCTCCCAATTGTTGATGTTAGTTAACATCCTGGTCGTGTTTTTTGTGGACCAGGTGTGGTCGTACGCCTAGGTGCGGATCCGGCCCTGTCAGCCACCTGCGCCCTCTCCCGCCTCCGTGTTCTTCATGACTATGTCTTGACACCGGGCCCAGGTGGGGAAGAAGAGGGTAATAGATGATGTGCAAGTCTACTTCCACTATAAATAATTCACACACACACCACTGTGTCTGCACTCACCCTGCTGTAGAGCACATGGTGGGCATCGCCGGTCACGAGGGTCGACCCTTCATGTCCTACAGAATGAGGTATCATTGACGAATGAGGCAACTAAATTGGTCGTAGAATGATATTACGTTGGAAAGATCAAAGCCCTTTCCAGCTGCGTCTCTGAACAGGAGGACGCACCTCTGGGGGTTGTCGACTTGAAGAAGAGGACAGCTAACATCTCAAAACCAGGCTACTGCCAAATGAACAGCAAGGACGACAGTGTCTCGCGAATCGATGCTACTCGCAAGGTATTCCCAATCCCCAGATGCGATATCGTCGTTGTCGTCGTCGCTACAAAGATCTGCGTGTACCCGGCATCTATTCAGTCAGTCCGCTCATACAGCCGTGAATGCTGGGCTGTGAGCGAGAAAGACTGAAAATTTGAGTGTTTTATCACCACTGCCTCAGAAGTGTCCTTCGAACAAAGTACACCGACTTCGTACCAGACGAGACAGCTCGCGCTCGCTGTAACAGCATTGTGAGGAAATATTAAACCACCCAAGAAGGAAAACGTGCGTCTCATGTCCTCGACGCGGTGTCGTTTCCCAACTGGTGGCACCCAAGAGGGTGTCAACCCAACACTTGAGCCAACACATTCGGGTATGACACGGACATAGTCCCTGGACCTTTGGTATTCGGTCTCTATCGCTAAAGGAGAGAATGAGTCGAGTCCCTAGATCCGTTGCCGCAGATCGCCATGCGTTGAGATGTAGGATTTGCGACATCAGCGGGTACGGCCAGGTTAGGCATGACCACAGCTATATCAAGTACAAGCAAGTAAGTACAAGAATCCGCAAGATCAAATAAACTCACAGCTCCGGTGCGGCCACCGTTTGACCTTGCGGTCCGCGGAGAAGATTAGCACCGCGCTTATCCCGCCTCTTGCCGCGGTAGCCGGTTCTCTCTCGTCTGGGCAGCCAGCGCTCCGGATCGGGTGGGATATTGGGATCAAAGTTCTTCGGCAGACGAACTTTTCGTTTCTTCTTCTGTTGTGCCTTCTTTGAGCCACTGGCGGGAGTCTTTTGCATAGGAGTCTCCTTCGCCGCAACGACGGCGCTGTCGAAAGAGGCATTATAAAAATCATTGTAACTGTTCTACTGAAATAATAAAAGTAACATGTTTGTGGTTATTCGTCGGGGGGAGGGGATGAGAGGCTTACGTTTTCGGAGTGCCGCCAGCTGCAGCCGCACGGCTGGCCTTCTTGACGCTCTTCACGCCGACGAGGAAGGAGTTCTCCAGGGAGTCGATTTCCTTCTCGCTCAGCTTCTCCTTGAACTCTAGATCGCGGCTAGCTGCCTCAGCCTTGGCGTGATCAAATTTGGAGTAGGCCTGGATGAGGAGAGCAAGCAGGTTCTGGCGTTTCTGCAGGGTCGCGGGATCAGAGGCCTTGGCGAGCTGCTGCATGCGCTTTTCTAGCAGGCTCGCTGCCTCCTCAGCAAAGCCATAGCGCAAGAAAAACGCCGTGCACTGGTCAAGGAACTGCAAGTTTTCAGACTTCTGGAGGTAGGGAAAAGAAATGTACAAAATTAGGCTAGTACCAAGTTGAGAAAGAAGGACAAAAGCGCAACAAGAGAGGAGGGCGTGTAGGACAGTCGAAGACAGATACCCTATGAAGAGGGTCTCGCCTGTTTGTGTAACTACTAGTTATCCTGGTGCTTGCGTCTGGGGGACCAGATCGTGCATGTGGCGCGCGCAGACAAGGTCACTAGATGTCAGTCATCGTGCCCATTCCCCGCACCAGTCAACTGCCCGGCTCGGATAATGACTGGGGCCTGGGAATGGGAAGAGGGAGTGAGGTCGACGATTCAGCGCGTTTTCCTCGCTACGAACAACCCGACGCGCTTAAAGCTATCACGGTGCGCTAAACGCCGTGGCTTGGGAGGTTGCCGACTGACGGGATAACTTGGATCTCGCAATCGGTCCAGTTTTGTGTGTTGTGTGGAGTGGCCGGCTGGTGGTCTGAGAGCCAGGCTACAATGGCTCTTTTTTAATGTGGCCTTTGTGGCACTCCCACTCCGTGGGATCCGGGCCAGGTGTGACGGCACGCCTAAGTGCAGCTTCGGTCGCGCCAGCCACCCATTTTTATTGTTGGTTAAAAACAAACCTGGTTATTTGGGGTATGGAGCGGAGCGCCAAGGTGCGGACTCGACCGTGCCAGCCACGTGCGCCCTCCCCCATCCCGGTCTTCTTGACTACGCCTTGACACCGGGTCCAGGTGAGAGAGAAGGAGAGAGTGCGGTAGATGCGGCACAAGTCTACTATCACTATAAACTAATTCACGCGCAAGTCACTGTCCCTGCTCTACCTAGCTGTGGGGCACACGGTAGGCATCGTCGGAAACGATGGCCGAACTTTCGTGTATCCGACACATCCGTAAGTGGCTGATAGTGGGACGACTCTCAGTGATGGCTAACTGCGAAAACAAACTCCTGAGTCTAGGGGCCGACGGTGGTAGTGCTGGCAGGTTGAGGAGGGTCTAAATCTAGTAGTTGATTATCATCTAAAAAAGTTGAGGAGTTTGGTGATGACACTGAAACACGGCTTTTGTGAAGTAGCTCTCCCAGTAACCATCGTCTTTCTGCCTGAACCTCAATCTAAAGAACTAATGCAGGACTTATGAAGTCGACCTGAACTAAACCCCTAGCCAGCTAATGTAAATTTCTACATAAGGAGTATGCTGGGCCAGTTCGATACTACATTCCTGAATAATGCGTGCCGACCGCCAGCGAGCATGTATCTGAACACGCCCCTGTGACGGCTCGGTTAAGGCCCAGAGTACGTGGTGTCGAATAGATGTGACCTGCAGTGAAATGCGATGGTGACTGTCTTAATGGTCCTTCTGCCACCAGAGGCTGTCGTTTGACTGTCCGTAAACGCTTCGTTGAACTGACGCAGGCGTCAGCAGTCCGAAGTCTGAAGTACGAGTCCAACCAGTCTGAACGGGAACACACTTCAAAGTATCTCCCAGGAAGGTGCTGGAGCATACCAAGCATCACCGCAAAGATCAGATATCAAGCGAAAGTTTCCGACTGGCTCATGACGTAAGGGTTGCCCGAGCCCTTTTGGGATTGGGGTGGCCCATAAACCGGAATCCACTATCAGGCACCAGATAATGAGACCCAAATACCGGCTACCGGCAACGGACCAATCAGTACTCGTCTACAGCATGCCTTGTCAAAGTTGCAGTGCGAGGTATGTTGGTGAGACGGGCAAACGCCTCTGCGCAAGATTTCACGAGTACTAGCTTGCAGTCAACCGCGAGGATAGGCTGTCACTGGTATATGCTTACATACAACGGGAGAAGCAAAGTTTCGCCCTTGGGGAAGCAAGCCTCATCGACCAAACCAGCGGCAAGATGACCAGACTGGTGCTCGAAAGTTGGTCCTCAGTTGGCACCATCAACAGAGCCGTTGATCTTCATCCGGCCTACCAGGAACTACGTACGGGGCTCCAGACAGGGTCCACGGACACACAGACCTAGCAGGAACAACGACGGCCGGACAGCGGACAGAGTTCACACGAGTGCGCCAGCGGTGGGCCACAGAGAGACCAAAACCAATCCCCCGCCAACAGGCAGGTCAGAGTTCGTGCGTCAGGCATGTCTATAACACGAGACAGGCGGCGATGCAGAACAAGTCTGGGCTAGCAGGAATAAACACCTCACCACTCTGATGATGAAAACAAGAAACTTTCCGAAACGTCAGCACAAATACAGTGTGGTCATGGAATCGCCTCGTAAGAGCGACATTGAACGCCACTTTTGACCAACCTCATCGAAACCTACTGACCAAGCAGGAAACGCGTGAGGCCTGCGTTGTCATGAAACATAGCTTGTAGGTTCAAGTGATATCACTCACCAGGATCTATACAATCAGCAGTGCTTGAGCTTTACACTCCGGATTAGTCTCTCTGATCTCTACCTAACGCCCGACGCAAAGTTTATTACGAGCAGAATCGGTTAACTGTGCTTCCCGAACTCGCCGACAGAGGTGGTTGGCCACGTGTTGCACCAACTTGATGGTGAAACCGTCCAGGATGTCAGTCCGTCTGAGCCTGACCTCCGCTGGAGACGAGATCAACGTGGCCAACTGAGGACATCGAAGGGTGTGGTGAAGGTGCATCTCTAGTTTTGCGGGACGCTGGTGTGCTAAATGGCTTAATGTTCGCTCGTAAGTGCACTGCCAACTGACTAACTTTTTCCCGGGTGTGGTGAATTTGAAAGTAAGTACACCTTATAAGTACCATGACTTGCCTACGTGCCGGTTCCTCATGCTCTGTTGTCGTTTAGTCGCTTGTAGTGGCTTACCGAGAGGTTCGGGTTATCTGCACTTTGATTTGCCAAGTCGGGCCGATAGGAAATGACGGAAGCGCAGTAGACATAGAAGTTAGGAACACACTGGACGAACTTTCGAAAAACATCATAAAATATGAAAAAAGTACCAATGAGACTTTGCGGCACATTGTTTTTCGGCTGAGAATCCACTAGGGTAGATAACGACTGACACGTCGGAAGGGAGACTAACTTGTCACAGCATTAACTTACCGAGCTAGAATACATTCGGCAGGCTTTATACAGACATCTTAAAAGTCGTGGACTAAAAGGTTTCCAACTGACTGGTAACACTAGCTACCTCCACGTTAACGCTCAGGCTGCAAAGGTTTCCTTTTTGAGCGACCTTTGCAGCAATTCCCACCTACGTGTGATCCGAGGACGGGCTTTTAAGTCCGGATCATTGGCCTGTAAGGACAAAAATGAGTGTGTTACGAGCAGAGGCCACATGGAGAGCACTGAGGGACTCGCTGAATAGCCAAAAATAGACAGAATCCGGCTCCGGACTCGCAGTTAGTAAGTGTAGTGAATGCGGTTCAATTAGTTTGAGGTGCAGTTATAAAGTACTCTCAGATTCGCATGGCCCGGTCTTTTAACTTGTTGAATAAATTTAAAATGACACACAAAACCGATGTCAGAGGCCTTATAACAAGGTTGAACGAGCCAGAGTTAGCAGATCACAATGAGTAGGATTTATGCAGTCTTAAGAGGTTCCCTTCAATGGCACCTATGATCGCCTTTCTTTCAAACTGAACGCTTGATCTGAGCCCCCTTTAAAGGCTTCCCCAAAAGCCGACAACGGTACGACAGTTCGACCGTCGTTCCAGACTGCAGGGTGGACGCAGAGACGGTGACTTGAGCGTGAATTAATTCATGATGATAGCAGACTTTCACTGCATCTGCCGTACTCTCTCCTATCGCCCACCTGGGCCGGGTGTCATGAGCGGGGCCAAGATCCGAGACAGAATCGGGCGCAATAGCTGACAGAGCTGAATCTGCCGTACTCTCTCCTATCGCCCACCTGGGCCGGGTGTCATGAGAGGGCCAAGATCCGTGGCAGAATCGGGCGCAATAGCTGACAGAGCTGAACAGCCTGACTACGCGCAATGAGCCAGTATTTCACATAAACAGGACAGGGGGGTGGCTCGGAGCCTAACTGAGTGGGAGTGCCATAAAGGTAATAGTAACCCCGTGGAGACCAGCCCAGTCGAAAAATACATGAGTACTGATAAGACACAAGTGCAGCTTACGGCACTAGCGCCTTCACCACCGCTACCGCTGAGGGCGTCACTAATGATGGCTTTGGCGGCTGAAATGGCCTCGCCGGAATCACCACTACCACCACCGGATTTCCGAAGGCCCTGGAGACATAAGGCCACGCGCAGGCTGACGAGGGCAGGCGCACACAGGAGGTGCTGGCCCTCTGACAGAAGGCGCTGCCGCAGTTGGTCGCAGAGAGACAAGGCATCAGACAGTGCGAGGGTCGTTCCCTGTGGGAGGGGAGAGGAGGCCTCAGTGGCGCCGGTAGCGGTTCTGGGATTTAATCGCATAAGCTGCAGATGAAGCAGACAGAGAGGCACCAGGAGACGTCCTTCACGGTCATTGAAGGCGGCGGACTCACAGTAAGCCGGAGACTGACAATAGGTCTAGAGAAAAATAAGGGTTTGTCGAAGGGTGAACAGCGTTGGCATGCCAGAAACAAATCATGAAGAGAGGAGTTTTGATGCATGCGGTGTTAATGATACGATGACTGTAACTCTGTGACCTGGTACATTGAACATTGATTCGGAAATGGGGAGTGAAAGCCCCCTCGTTCGGGATTTCAGTTACAAGACACACAGTCGGTTTTATGACCAGTTGACGGTCCCAAGAGAGGCCGCAAACAATCGTGACTCTTTGAAGAGTGAACAATAGGGGTGGTGAAAAACTGTCATCTATCCTGAATGGGATACTCCTAAGCTTCCGTTTAATTACCGATAGTTAACAACTCTTCCAGACATAGTCACACTTGCTGGCACGCATGTTCTCAGGAGCAGCTTATCCTCTGATAAAACCTGTCCAGTTTGGTTATAGTCCCGTGACTAGTATGCAAGAGAGCCCGCGTGTTGACAAGATTGAAAAGCGCGTTATCTTGTATGGGCAGAGAAAATACATCTAAAAACAAAAGGAACTGAGGAGAAAGAGTTCATACACTGCGTCCGTCTAGAGATGGACAGTCTTACGTCGAATTTTTCGGTTTGGGATGAGAATAAGGACCCCCGTGCTGTTTTATTCACCTGAATAGACGCACCCGAGGTCAGAGCTATGTCAGAAGACAGTCAGGATAACTCGGTTATTGTTTGTGTCTTCTGACAGCTCTGACCTCGGGTGCGTCTATTCAGGTGAATAAAACAGCACTGAGTTTAAAGAACACCAACCACAAAAAGTTATTCGAGGTGATAAGACGAGCAGTCAGCGAATGACGCCAAGGTGTGGTGGTCGGTTTATAAGCGAGCGGCAACAAAGAGCAATAGGCAATGGACAGGGAACAATGAACAAGGAATGACAAGAACCGACGAATAGGGATCCAAAGACAAAGACAGGGCGGTGTGCGTAAAATCTGGTTACTAGCAAACGGTTAGTAGCAAAGTAAAGACAAGAATAGAAATTGACATCAGGGATGTCACACCGTGTCCGACCGATTTTTCGATATGCGTTCTAAAAATAAAAAGCTGTCGAGGCTCACCAGCGGGACCAATGTGGACCAATGTGACAGTTGTCAAGCCAGTCTTCTTTATGGATTTTTTCCGAGCGACCTGTTTCCCGCAAAGACTTATGTTGTGCGGCTCTGTCTTGTAGCTGGCAAACTGGCACTAAGATCGGCAAAATACAACGTTCAGTTCTACCTTTTAAGGGTGACAACGTCTCAAACACAATCAAGCGACGCTTGCGTTGCACTATAGAAAGAACGTACAACGCAGCAGAGCTTATCTTCATCAGTTCCACAAAAAGCCTTCCAATTAACCGGGCAAAGGATGCCTTGCCAATGCACGCCACCCCCAATTGTGTGTATGAATTCACATGCACTTGCGGATGCAAGTACATTGGGCGAACGCAAAGGCAATTGGCAACCAGGGCCGTTGAGCATTTGCCTAATTGGCTTTTCAAACAGGAAAACAGAACCCCCCGTTCGTCTATAACTAAACACCTGTTAGATAGCGGTCATGTTTTCGACCCTAAAGCATCCTTTCGAGTACTTGTCTGAGCACGTACAACTCGAACCTTGCGTTATTTGGAAGCGGCCTACATACGGAGGGAGAAACCAGACCTGTGCAAGCAGTTAGATCACGTGATCAATCTGCAATTGCCCTGGTAATCTCACGCCTCTATTTTCCCCTGCCTGTGATTTGTTGTTAACATTTCGTTCCCTTTTTTCCTTTTTGATGCTTATGTGGACGTCTTATCTGATTATTGATTGCTTTGAACTTTGGCCTTGCTCTTATGCACTGCCATTCTGTACAAATTCATACTGCTGTGCGCTTTCATTCGTTACCTATGTTATGCAGAGACGGGCTGCAGTTAAAAAGCCGTCACGAAATTTATTGGCCCCAATAAATTCTGCTGTACATGCTTGTTTTCAATTCATATCCGGGAAAAAATGCTTCAAACGTTCAGTTCGACATAAGACAAACAGTGCACACTCACCTCCAGAATCTTGATGGCTTGGGACAATTGCTTCGTCCTTGTTAGGTAGCTCGCATGCAGCAGCAGACCAGGCACGCAGTTCGGATCTTCCTCCAAAACGGCCTTCACTTTGGCGCGACAGGCTTCGAGCTAGTTATAAGAGGACGGGGTAAGGTACTACGGTTGTGTGTTCCCACAAAGTAAAAGTGACAAAATGGCATAGAGACACGCACCTGACCAGTCTGAAGGTAGAAAAGACCCTGGTTGAAGAGCATGGCGGTGCGCTGGAATCGGAAGAGTTTGTGTTTCAAGGACTCCAGCGAGATGGCCTTGATGCGTTTCTTGGTGTCAAAGACGTTTTGCTCGCGGTTGATGCAGATGAGATTGTTAGCAGCTACTGCCATGAGGGAGGGGTCACCTGACCTGATCGTGATAAAAAACGGGAAATTCCCAGTATTTGGTGTGTGCCCAGAACTGACAAGGCAAGTGAGTGCTGAATCCTGTGGGACGCTTAACATGGCACTGACTTTGATTCCTTATTAAGTTGTATATATCTTTTTACCGCGTCTTGTTACTTCAGTCGGCTGCCAGCAGCTGCATTTGCCGTACTCCCAGAAGACGACGGAAACTTCTGCTATGTTCAGCATCATCCCGTAAGCAAACTGATGGAACAATAGGCCAGATTGAACAGTAAGAAGAACCTTTATAAGTGTTTTGCATAGTCAAAACATTTGTCAGTAAGAAGAGGGCTGGTCTACGAGGCCATAGTAGATTTGATTTTCGTCTTTAAAAAAGCACTAACGACGACTTGTACATCGGTCACTAAGTGGAAAAGTGCGTCTTTCGAGGGATCTATTTTGAGTAATACTGAATATGCCCTTCAGATGTTTGACTCCATAATCTTGAAGGATTACCGTCCAACTAGGCGCTGTAGCCAGGTCTAAGGGGTCGGCCAACACCCGCTACTTGAAATACATGTATGTACGAAAGTACCACAAAGATTATCAACGGATGAGATGTAGCCCATGGGACGGACGCACCAATGAAGCGAAGTCCCGTCAGTGATTTCAGTAACTTGTTAAGATATTTTCCAGTGTAGATAAAATAAGGGAAATGGTGCGGTTGAAAACAACTTTATGAGCTTCGATTAGTGCTCCATGATATCCGGTGTACTTCTTATAATGTAATTCTATCGCTTTTTAAAAATTAACACATTCATTAGAACAGGGAAGGGTTTAAGGTCGGAAACAAGAAGAAATTCTAGGGAAATGAGACAAAACGAGGACGAACTTTTGACGTATTATTGTGTGGTAGATTTCTGCAGCCTCCGTTTCCTTCTTTTGGCACTGTAATACAAACGCTCGTTGTACGCTAGAAAAAAGAGGAAATGCAACAATGCAATGTGGATGCAAAGGCGACACAATTTTAGGGAAAAATCTGACCAGCTTATTTAATCCGGACAGCAGTCCTACATCTCATTAGAATGAGGCAGTAACGGGTCAACGGAGGAAATTAATTAACTGGGCTACCGATGAGACTTTTTTGACGCCCAACAGAACGAGTCTGCGTCGTATTTTAAACTTGGGACGGACCTTATTCCTGAATCCGGTGAGTAAAGGTCGAACTAGCAGTTAAAACATCGTGCTGAAACTTTTAGCTGAACTACGAAGGCAAACGCAGTCTGTGTCGAACTTGAGCAAAACTTGCAGTCACAAAAGTAAACTTCGATTGCAGACGCAATTCTGCGTGCAGAGCGAGGTAAAGAGGCCTTCACCGGTAAGTGGCAGGCAAGATAATAAAGATTTGATCTGCAACTACAACCTAGACATTAGCAAATAAAATACAAGTCTCATATGCGTCGTAACTAAAATTGACAGGCGTCCGCTGGTTCATAGTGTCTCTGTTTGAGGACAGTTGTAGGCGCCTCGTCGATATGAGTTATTGAGGCTTAAGTTATCCGGAGAATGTGTCTACATTTCGCCAAACATGACTGAGTCCCGAAGAATAAAGCAGTTTGAATAGTCCATAGTTCAACAAACTAACAGCAGGAAATGTACTAAAAATATTTTAGTCGAAACCCGAGTAATCATGAGCTAGGCCACAAGCAATGCATAAAGAATCTACCGTATCGGTGCTGTTTCCTGGTCGATTTGGTCTTCTGTTGTATTCGGGTCGTTTTTAAAAGAATCGCGGCAAAGATCTACATGTAATTAAGAAAAGCTAACACTGTCACCTTCGGCTTTCTTTAATAATTTAAGAGCCTTTGAGTATTCTTTTCGACCGACATGGTAGCACGCGGCGTTAAAGTCGGTTTCGAACAATGCGTGCTTGTATTCGAGGGACTACGAACGATAAGTTTCGACTCTGCAAGTTACCCGAGTTTTCTGATGCATTTCAGACAAGGCAGCAACTGTGGCCAGAATGTTGGTAAACCTTTCGTCCTCGTAGTCGTCCTAAGGTCCCCAATCTGCAAAAAGACTCAAAAGCCCACCTTAAATGTCTTCGTTAAGGACTTATAGCAGTCGTAGGAATTCTCAAACTCTTCCTTTCGGTAAAGCTGAAAAAATAAACTTCCACCAAAGTTCTTACGATCTGGGCTTGGAGTTCAAGAAGTCCAGGATTCTCAAGACCACTGGCTTTTATTGTTTTCAAGGCATCGTTTAAGTGATTAAGACGGTATTCACAATAGGCCTTCACCATTACGCAATCACTTCAAGAGGTGTGACAATTGTCATGTACGCATACCTTAATTTCTTTTTCCGGATGAAGTCTAAGCAGTCTTCAAAGCGTTCTAGGTGAACTAGCGCGACAGCCTTGCACTTGTTAGCGTAGTCATCATCAGGAAAACTAGCCAGCACTACTCATGAGGCTTTAGGGGAGTTAAATTTACCCTTGTCGGCAATAGACAATATTTTTGAATATGAAAGCGACCTGCATGCCTTCTCCAGGTCATTATGTAACCCGATTAACTGAGAATTATCTTGCTGATGTGTCATTGATAGAGTGCGCGCTACTCAACGTGTAACCGCAAGGCCCGCATTCAGTTCGGTTTAGTATAACTACTCAAACGTGCAAGGGGAAATTATTTATAAGCAAGATGACTGCGAGTTTTATTTAAAAGGTCAAATAGCTCTGTACAAAGGAATTCCCGTTTTGGACAAGGAAGATAGGCAGGTGCACTATTACGACAAAACTGAATATTTTCATGATTTAGGCGGATGTTCAAGTTTCCACGAAGATCTTTTTAATGCATCTGAGTGATTTCTAAATGAGATTTTACTATGAACTCATATAATTCCAGGTCTTAAAACCAACTGCTAGTTTTAGAAGGAGCTGCGCCCAAACATAAGCACAAATGAACCCAATCCGGAAAGTGTAAAGTTAATGATTTGCTAATTATTATTCCCGCTAGTCACCTGCCACCAAAAAGAGTCCTCAGCTGTTGCTTCTTTTACCTTATATTTTCTCAGTCCTCGGTGATTTTATCACCTCTCTGAGCAAAATGTTGGGGGAACAAACACCACGTTTGTTTGACGGCACTTCGAAACCCATAATATTACCGGTCGAGGCCGAGTCGAGGTAACGACATTCCCGGATGGGTCTGCTATGATACGTCACTGGTTAGTCTAGTCATGTTTTCTCTCCAACCAATGGCAACCGTTCTTTGGCTTTTTTGGGACTTCGGATGCGAGCATTAACGGTGCCGTTCTTCCTTGACACCTACTCGACAAGTTTCTCTCGCCTTAGTGCAACCTAAATGTAAGAGCTTGTTCAAGACTTTCCTGTGTTCATGGAGAATGGCAGCACCCAGAAGGTGCCAAAATAAACCCTTTCTATTATATTCTTGCCTGTTGTTCTCGTCTGTGTTTTAAACGGTGCCTAACTTCCTAGACTTTTTTTACCATGTCTATTATCTCCAGACCTGGACTCAAGATCTTGACGACAGGCACGCGGTTCACACCGCTTTCAATGACTTCCAAAGGTCGTTTGACATTGTGACACACTAATGACTGTTAAACAAGCTGGGAAGGGGGAGTATCATAGGTAATTTCCACAAATGGATAGAACACTTCCTTGTGGGTCATTGTCAGGCTGTGTGCATCCATCAAAAACAATCGGATGATGAAGTTGTCGAGTAATGTTCGGCAGCATTCAGTGCTGAGATCCACTTCATTCTTTCTATACGCAGATGATTGCGCAATACCTTTGGATGACGAAGCGGCAGTGATTGCTGACGACATGAAAATACGTGCCCTTGCTCTCGAAGATAGACTGCAGACGACTGTAGATGGGTGTGGTCAAACCGTAAGCTCATGCCGTTCAACGTCGGTAAGTGAACCATACTAAGCCTAGGCAGCTCAGCCAGATCCGACAGTACAATAAACTACTTTCTCAGCCGTGTAATTTTAATAATTATAATTTTATTTAATGCCAGTTTACAGGCATTGTCAAGGGAAGCTTTAAACACAAATCCGACCAAAAGTGAAAATAAACTCCTGAAGAAAAGGAATAAGAATATAGTCGATGGTGGTTTTCATGGTTTGGAGGGTACGGGAGAAAAAACTGCTGCAGGCAGACTTTAGACCGTCAAAAAGGGGGGGGGGTTGCACGGTATCGTAGATTATCGGACGTCAATTCCTTTCATGAAGTTGGGGATAGTCAAAGTAGAGGCGTTGAGGAACAGCTGTCGCTGTTGGCCATAGAAATTTTCCCTGGTGAGACCGGTCATAGTGTTCACAGACCACAAACGCCATCGCAACGGTAGAGTCGATCAGGGGATTCAGCACCCAACATTTGTGGGAGCTTTTCTGAAGGCAAAAATCGAGTAATAATTAAGTCAGTTTAAGTCAGTTTATTAAGGGAATGAGGCTTTCGCCCTTCAGCTCCCTATTCATATCGATAAACAGAAATAAAGTCATCAATTACATCAGCAAATGCGAAAAGTTAAGAAGTTAGCGGTAAGTGTGAGCTAGGCGCAAACTGCCGCCGCTAAAACAATCATTATTGTATGTACAGTAGGTTTTCAACAAGTGAGCGTCTAGTCTGCACTTAAAGGATTTGACACTTTCGGAAATAACGACGGCGTCAGGCAGTCCATTCCATGCCCCGATGACCCTGTGAGAGAAGGCGTTCCGTCGGACGTCCGAATGATCCCACATCCTTTGCAGTTTGAACGGATGACCACGCAGACGGTCAGTCCGGGCCAGTTCAAAGAATTCATCAAAGTCTGGGGCACACTCACGGCTTCTGACAATCCTGTAGGTTTGAATAAGATCGCCGCGCAGTTGCCTGCAATTTAGAGGAAACAGATTTAGTTCGGTCAGCCTGGTTTCGTAAGGCAAATGATGAAGATTCTTGACCATCTTCGTAGCCATCGCCTGTACTCTTTCCAGTCGTTGATAATCTTTCTTTAACCACGGTCGCCAGGCCTGGACTGCATACTCTAAGTGAGACCGGACGAATGCCCCATAGGTTTTTCCGAACAGCTCCTTGTCGATCTGCACAAATCCTCGCCTCAGCGCAAATAACACCCTTATCGCACTTTTGGCTGCCCTTTGACACTGTGAAGATGATTTCAGCGAGGAGGTCATTAGGACTCCCAGGTCTTTCTGTTCCACAACATTTGAAAGGGGCTGACCACCAAGGACGTATTGAAAGGAATCGTCCTCCTTACTGGTCCGTCTGGTGCGGAGTCTCAGGACCACACATTTGTCCACATTAAAATTGAGGAGCCAGCGAGCTGACCAACTGTTTAGGCGGTTGAGACTGTCTTGAAGCGCGTACCTGTCTGCATCAGATCCGATGGGTCTCCACAGCTTAACATCGTCAGCAAACATGATGGCGCTGCATCCCAGGTCGTCGACGCAGTCGTTAATGTAAACCAGGAATAGCAACGGCCCTAAGACGGAGCCCTGGGGTACACCACTTAGAACGGGAGTAGGAGTTGACCTTGAGGCCTCAATGCACTTGGTTTGCAATCTCCCGGTAAGAAAATCTGTAATCCATGTCAGCAGCTTTCCTCTTATCCCAATTTCAGAAAGTTTGTAGATTAGGCGTTTGTGTGGGACGCTGTCGAACGCCTTCTTAAAGTCTGTGTATATGACATCAACCCTCCCATCCTCGTCCAGTGCACGAGTCCACTGCTCCGTCGAGGGCAATAAACTGTAAAGGCACGAGCGGTTCTGTCTGAAGCCGTGCTGCAGGTCTGAGATTAAATGGCCCTGCCCCAGGAACTCCATTGTTGCTTTCTTAACTATGGCCTCCATTATTTTACAGCAGATGCAGGTTAGACTAACAGGCCGGTAATTGTTAGCATTAGTGCGAGCCCCGCCCTTGTATATCGGAAAGGTATTTGCTGTCTTCCATTCCGATGGCAACCTCCCTAATTCGAATGACGAGCGGAAGATGTGCGCCAGTGGTTTGGAAAGTTCATTCGCCAGTTCCTTCAAGAATTTGGCCGGTATATTGTCCGGACCCGAGGACTTTGCTTCCTTGAGATTTTTCTGCTCCCTTTCCACGACAGCTGTCGGGAACAGTATGGAGTCAAGCACGCGATCAGCAGTCTCAACAGCATTGCTAGCACTGCGACAGCGAAACTCTGTTTCTCTAGTAAAAACCGAGGCAAAATACTGTCCTAAGTGTTCAGCTTTCTCGCTGTTTTCAGCGATCTCTACACCACTACCATACTTCAGCACCGCGACCGGGTCCTTATTTTTAAGTCTACTGTTCAGATAGTGAAATAAAATCTTAGGTTTCTGTTCAGCCTGTCGTATAATTTTGGATTCATACTCCTTCCGTGCCTGACGGATACATTTTTTGACGGCATTTCGTTGACGACGAAATTCTTCGAAATGCGCT